ATAGGCACATCTCTAAGTATACATGTATATTTTATAAAATAGATGAAGAACATGAAAAATAAATTTACATTTGAAAAATATTTATCATATTGATATGCTCATATGATTGCTCAAAATTTATTATACAGTGACTCACATTTGAAATGCGACCCGATATTTATTACTGAAGAAATTTTTGTGGATAAAGATGAATTTATTTGATAATAAGATTTATCAAGATTCATTTTTGTTTTTTATGACTGAAGTTTCTGTGTTTGGAGAAAAAACTTTGTTATATCATTTTTATATATCAATCGTTACATGTATATCTTATTTTTAATTTGCATAAAAGTCTATTTCAATGCTTCGAATTTTTGAAATTGCAGACTCCAATAATTAGTCCAAATCATTACATATATTATATGCTTTGTTTTCCACTAATATATCGAATATCCGTTAGTTCAGAGCTTGGATTAGAACTTTAATTGCAGACAAGCATTTTCCAAATTGCGCTTCATTCTAAAAGGATAGGTGAGCAACCAAATTTAGGTTCATTAACGATAATTTCCAATCTTTCCTGTCTTCTAGTATATTCATATGACAGAAACCAGAATAATTCTTCTTCAGCATTATGTGATCTTAAATTGTTTAATTTCTCATAGATTATCGCTAAAGGAATTTTTGCACTTATACTTTTAAAACATTTGAGACGGAATTTGTTAAATATTTACTGTGCATTATTTATAGTAATTACATTATTTATGCAAAAACAATATACATCGAACAAATGTGTGAACTATAATTTATCACTTTCTTTAATCTTCAAACATGATAAAAATTTTGCCGTTATCATTAGCCAGCCAATCACATGTGTGTAACGTTAATTTTAAGTGTACAAATAAATTAGACAGAAACACTTCTTAATACATGTACATATAATTATAAGCAAAAGAAGTTCTACATTTAATTGAATTACAAACACAAATAGAAAGTTTGGTTTTTCATTATTTGCAAAACGGAAGTGCTATTTGTCTAAAAATTGAATGTGCGCTATTTACGTTACATTGATTTTCAAAAAAATACATGTATATATTGAAGTAAAATTCTGCGAAAACAATTGGTATAAATTCGCATCTTTAAACTTAGTAATTTTATATTTAGTTTTGGAGCTTAACACTCTTGTTAATTCGTTAATATTAACGATAAATGATCCAAATTTTGCTGCATAATGATAGGCTTACATCAAGTTCCAGAAGATTACCATGATTAAATTTGATTTAAACGATTTAACTCAATTTCAAAAGGCAAGGCCTCACAATAAAATGACTCATTAAAATATTGATATTATTTGATTAGCCCTGTCCTCTTATTTAACAAATTTAGCTTTTCCAAATAATCAATCTTTTTGTAAGATGCTAACTAATATATATCAATATAAGTTTCCAATATATGTACTATACTGTTACATAACCTCCTAAAGATATTAGAAAGTAGGATGCAACATAATGATGGCTGAATGATTTACAAAAAGAGGGGCTCTCTAATCGTTCTAAAGCCACCTGCGGTAACTTTGTGCTGAGAAAAGGATACTGAACAGGATTTTACAATTCCAAGGAATACGGGAGGTTTCTGCATATTACCAACAATTAAGAAAAAGGTTGGACTTTTGACGCGGCCAACAAAATTAACAATCAAAAGAATAAGGTACTAAGCAAATTCAACAGTTGGGACTTATTAATGCCAGCAAACAAAAAATAATCAGAGTATAAATGGTTTACTTAGAGTGGTGTCATTTAAATATCAATTTATGCTAGACACAAAAGAAATAACAATAACTTTGTACGCAAGATTTAAAGGTGAGTAATAACAGTAAGATATTTGCAAGTAAAAGGGTGGCCAAGAACTTGCCCTTAAAATATGAGTTTTCTCACAAGAATTACTATCGGCAAGTTTCTATATTATCATTCTTGCGTTCATGAGTTTCAATCTAATTGATACTAAAATTAGAGAGGATTCAAATCGTGCTTTCCTATCTTTTGGATTGGATTTCTAAAAGCGAAAATAGGTGCCGAGCAGATAATAATAGAATAAACAAATAAATAAATAGTGAGGTAAAGAACTCGGAAAATGTTGATTTCGAGTGTTAATTATGATCTCAAAGAATTAAACATTATTACGGAACGTTAAATATTAATTACAGTTTTCCTTCCATACTCTCTTTATAATCACATCTTTTTCTAGTTCTAAATATTAGAAAGCAAACTAAATTGACTTCTATACAGTCACAACCTCTTTAAAGTCACTTTTTGTTGTTCCAAAGGGCATGATTATATTATGGGAGGATGATTGTATTTCGATAACGGTGTAAATTGTTGCGATAGCTATAATTACATGGTGTCAGATATTAATTATTGCGTAGTGTATTATTACAAAGTGTTGAACGTTAATTATCGCGAGGTCTATTATTGATATATCAATTATTACGAATTATGATATTCTCGAAGCGTTAATAATTACATGCACATGTATTTATATAATCATTATGCGTGTGTTGCAAGAAACCGTTTGTACATGTATACGTTAAATATGTGGTATCAAATTTTGACCACTCTTAATACAGTCGCGATTTTCGTGTTAGGAAGAAGAATTTATTGTTACTGCTATAATAATACACTGCAATATTATACAGGAGTAAAATAATAACTGATACATGTATTAAAGAAAATTAACATAATTTCTGAAATTACGATTTACTATATATTTAATTTGAATATAATGTATAACTTTGCTCGGTCATAATATCTTCATAATCTAAAAGTCACTTTAATTTGAGCTATTTCTATATGATAATGAATTACAATATGAGCAATTAAATATTCGGCGTATTAAATTTTACAACTAAGCAGAAAATTATGTTATTATCCTTAAATTGTTATATGTATATGATATCGAACCAATTGGATAATTATTATGACATTATGGTTTAGAAAATGGTAACTTTTTGTATTATTTAAGAACTTTAATGCTTAAACACTACAAACGAAACATACAAGTACCATAAACACCTTCGAAAATAGTTTTAAAGAGGTTATGACTTCTTATAGATTACTTCCTGAGCAAAAAAGATAAGTTAGTATCAAATTACAAAAATAATGGCGTCAATGATATTAATGTTAATATACAATTTCAAACTTTTATAGAAATACGATATATATTTTTCCCTTTTCTCTCCTCAACACATAGTAGTAATGTGACTAAAAATTACAAATACAATATATCTGAGTATTGTACGATCAAATGTTTTTACCAAAAAAGATATTTGAATGAATTATTTTATTGTAACTAAAGAAACGCCAACTAGAGTCATCGCACAAACAGACTTTCGGTCATAATAGTAGTTATGAGAAAATGTGCTATAAAAGGTCCAAAAACGTGAGATCTTCATAGGTTCTCAATATGCAAAATTCTATAAATGGGCATATGTACTTCCGATTTGTTTCATTTGGGTTATTAGATGATCATGATTTGTTTGATCTGCATGTAGTTCATGTACATCACATCCTAATATAGAAATGCAAGTTTTCCGTGGATATAGAAATACCCATTCGTTCTCTTCCTCATAAATCTTTAGATCGTTCTGTTCTCTTTAAATGAAACAAATCAATTACTGAATACCATCATATCACCATCTCCGCTTCAACAACTATTGATGATACTCATCCTTCCATATTCTTGAAGTTTTCTGCAATTACAATTCTTCCAAACCTTTCCTTTCTTATGCTTATGTAAAATATCCAAAGACCCTAAATTTTATTGGAAATTTTCATTCAACATGTCTTGTTGTAGTGTAATATCGCTAGTATTTTGTAAAAGATCTTTTTTTGGCTTATACCTATAATTAGGAAATAAGCTTTTATAATTTTCATAAGCCATTTTCTCTAATATTTTGGAAGAAGAATTACAAATTAACTATTAGGTAATTTCTAAAAAACGAATAAAGTCGCTGGTTTTTTTGCACACGAGCTCACCGTTTTAATCTAATAATGAAAAGGAATTTAGTAGTGTTCTATATAACGAATGAACTTAGAATAATTTTGGGAATTGCAAGTGTTTCATTCTTTTGCGTCTAAAGACATATAGATTTGTTCTTTATAAATCGGAATATAATATTCTATTCAGAAATAATAATATAAAGAACCAATAATTAATATTAATTTTACTAATTCCTGATACGATTTGTGACATTAGTTAAATGTAAATACAAAGAACCAATTAATATTAATTTATTAATTTCCTGTCACAATATGTGACATTTAACCTAAAACAATTAAATATAAATACAAGAGTTTTTCTTTTATTCAACTATGTACTCAGCTCAAAATGTACGTATTTTTTTAATTTTATAGTATATGTAAAGACATTAGGTATCCGAAACGTGCTGTAACAGTACGGCCGTTGTAACAAACTTGACTGTATTTTTCTATTAATAGCATTTCCATTGAAATATAATCTTCTTATTTATAACACATTCTTAACTGTAATATCCATTATTAATCGAATCTAACCACATTTTTTAAATTTAAATCAAGGCTTGAAAATAGAGATTTAAGTGATGTGGATTTTAATAGCGAAGAAAGCGGAGATGAATTGTCAATACAGTTTCAATCGGATGAATTTCGCACCGAAGCGCAAATTATTCATAAAAAATGTTTTGATTGCGGAAACTTTAGGACTAATTTTGCATGGTGTCACTCTTGTGAAACTACCTGGTTTAAGGAAAACTATTCAAGATGGACAACTGGCGATTTGCAGCTTGATTCAATTATACAAAAAAGCCAAGCCGAAGCAAATATAAGCGGCGATTATCTTGAATACATTCCTTTCGAACAATTTGAACTGGTTGAATTCTATAAAGCTGGGACATTTAGTGAAATTTATTCTGCTATTTGGTTAGAAGGACCTAAGTGGGATTGGAATGAAGACATTCAGGCTTGGTCGCGGGGTGGACCAATAAAAGTAGCGTTGAAAAAATTTAAAAATTCTCAAAACTTGAGCAAACAATTCTTGGAAAATGTAACTGTTATTTCTTATTTGATAAAATAAATTATAAAAATTATTAAACAAAAATTTTTTCTTTTATTATTTTAGCTACGAAAATATCATCATTGTCTCCAATCAGGTAGTGTGGCAGATACCTTCGGCATTACGAAAGATCCAAACGGGTCGTTTATGTTTGTAATGAGATTTTATGAGAATGGTGATTTGAATAATTACATTAAAAATATTAAAGATATTAGCTGGAAAGATAAAATTGATTTATTATGGGGAATTACAGCTGGCTTGGAAAATATTCATAGATCTGGTCTTTATCATGGAAATCTACACGGTGGGAATATAATGATTGAGGATGAATCAATCTCGACCGACGGAAGAATAGCTGATATAGGCATTCATGGCCCAGTTGATGTCGCACCTGATAAATCATATGGTGTCCTTCCTTATATTGCACCAGAAATTCTTTTGGGAGAAAAACAATCAAAAGAAGCTGATATTTATAGTTTCGGTATCATTATGTGGTCACTTGCAACTGGACAAAAACCATTTTCTGAGAGAGCGCATGATGTTGCATTAGCAACAGAGATTTGTAATGGGATTAGACCGAATGAAATTGAAAATGTTCCCAAATGTTTTACTGATTTGATGAAAAGATGTTGGACGTTTGATCCAAAGCAAAGACCAACAGCATTCGAATTGAATGAAACATTTAGCGATTGGATAACTGATATATGTGACAATCCAGCACCAACTGGAATCAGTGAAGAATTTAATGACGCTGAGGATAGAAGATGTGAGGCTTTGCAAATACAAAAAAACACATCACAAGAAATTCATAAAGATGCGTTTTATATAAGTCGATTTTTTGATTTTCCAGAACTTAAAGAAAAATGTGGTACCAATATTACATAAATTAATGAGACCACATTTTCAAATCGAAATTTTAAATACAGATTAATTTATAAGCATTTTATTTAATATGCACTCAAGTGATAATTATATTTCGCAAAAATTTTGTCTGTTCATTCATTCCTTTCTTAAGTTATTCGTTTTATTATATTCTTTCGTCATATATCCATATTTTATTCAGTTTTGTTCTTTATCATAAATTCTCATATTTATTTTATTTTTTTTGCCATTATGCTCACTCGTCGTTATTATTCGTTTTATATTATATACATGTTATCTTTCGTCATGCATTTTGCTCTGTTCTCATTCATCAGTTTATATAAAATTTAGCTAGATTCATTTCTGTTCAAATTTTTCGCTTTTATTTTCGTCTTTCGTCCATGTATTCGTTACATTCTCTTAATCATATATATTATGTTATTTCACATGTATTCGTATCTATTTTTTATATTTATTAATGAGCTTTGTTTATTCTTAGATTCTTATATTCATTCGTCGTATACATGTATTTTTGTTCTGTTACGTTACTTTTTTTTGACTTCATTTGTTGTTATTTTCCGACAATCGTCATTTTCATCACACCCTAGTGCATGCTATAAATCACGATATGATTTCATAAGGAGATGATTTTGTAGGCGTAAACATGATTATCACAATGAGAAAATATGATCTACTATCCATGTGTCATCAGGCCCCTCGTTTAATCTGATCCTTCTCCCCCCATATACATGTATAAATAACTCATTCTAAAAAACAGGTAATAAAAAACATTTTTCGGAATTCCCTTATTTAAATATTTAATATAGCTAATAAATATTTGGATGAAACAAGTATCCAAAAATAAAAAAATTGAACAATAATTCAAATATCAAGTATTAGTGATATTTATAACTAAAATTGCAAGTTGTGCTGTTTGTTTAATTAAAATATTCGAACTACATACAATATAATTTTATTTGATATAAATTTAAGAAAAGGATTGCTATAATAAATTTTCTATTCATTTATGTATAGGCTTAACCATAAGAATTTTGCTTATAAATTTTCATTATGTCGGTGAGGAGACAAAATTATATGTAAAATTGCCTTCCAGACATTTTTAATTAATAGTCTAAGACAAGATTTGTGTACATGTATCAGTTTTCTTGAAACTATATGCACATGTATCACTTTGTTTTGCCGGTCGATCAAAAAATTTATGATTCTTATCGTTATTAGTTATTGAGCTCATGACTCGAATACAGATCACTTATACATTAATTTTAGTTTAGGCTTACGTTCGGGAATAAATCAACATGGTGAATTTTATAAGATCAGAGCAAACTTATTTCATAAAACAATCACTATTTCAAACATACATATGCGCTCATATACATTTACATATTTCAAATATAAAAATGATATCAACAAGCATATTCTCTAGTAAGTTTGAACAGCTATAGCAAATTATAAAGCATGCAGCCATGATATTTAGATGCTTTTTAGCTATTTGTTTAGGTTTATCAGATGAACTAGCAGATCAAGCATACTGTTATGGCCTGCCACATGGAAACTATGGGATAGCCTGCTGGTCCTTGTTTTTTACTGCACCATTTTAACATACGCGAATTTTCCTCTGTTTTCACCATGGCGTTAGAGTGAAGATTACGAAGGACAAACATCGTGCATGGGTAATTTTTTAATAATAGGACCAGCGGTCTATACATGTTTCTGTTGCCGTGGAACATATGCTACTTATGACACTTGCGCAACTTAATATTTTTTAATAAAATAACTTTACAGATATTTCAGAAAACTTACTTGACCTAATCATATTCTTACAAGTTTATTATAGTAAAATATTTATTTAAGTTTTATATATAAGAAATAATTTACAGTATGTAATAGTAAAGTTTATGTTTATAAAGAATATAAATTCAAAGCAAATTACTCAAAAATTTATAGACGAGGTAAAAATAAACATCTTTAAAAATGAAAATTGTTTTTTGTTTATAATACAATCAAGTTTTTCAAAAAATAGATTCAAACGGGACTTAAATGCTATGATTATGGATACTTGATAACATATTATAGAATGACTAAAACCCAGTTACAAACGATTACTTGATAGTAATGCATGCATTCTATGGTGATAAAGCGAACTCCAAGATGAATCAAATACTCATCATTGTAAAGAATGTGACGATTATGAATACTGCGATGAGTGTTTAGTTCACAATACTCATGATTGTAGCAAATGTACAGTTTGTCAAAAAAAATAAGGACGTTTGCGATGACTGTTTCAAATTTCACAAACAAATTTATAACGATGAAATATCGTTTTACCGGAGATAAAGAAATCGACAAACTAATAAATGAATGCAATATTATAGAATGGATTCCTTTTGAAAGGTTTACCAACGTTGAATATCTTGCAAAAGGAGTTTTGGAAAGCAACCTGGTTGGATGGTCCACTGGATATTTCTATTTTTATCCCAAATGGGATCATGAAGAAAAAAATTTAAACGAGATGGAGAAAGTAAAGTTGTGTTGAAATCAGTACACAATTCAAAGCAAATTACTAAAGAGTTTATACACGAGGTAAAAAATAAATATTTACTAAAGTGGAAAGGTGCTTTTTTCTGATAAAATTTTATTTTTCAAAATAGTTTCAAATAGCTCCCAGCATCAGTACTGTTATAAAATATTATGGAATAACTAAAAATCCCGTTACAAATGAATATTCGATAGTGATGGATTATGCAAAAGATGGTGATCTTCGTAAATATCTTGATTCCAACTACGAAAAATTAACTTGGAATCAAAGGTTAACTTATTTAAATGAGATTACCCATGACCTGAAAAAAATTCACAAAGAAAAGCTTGTACATCGTGACTTTCATCCTGGAAATATATTATTAATGCGTAAGGCTGCTATTGCTGACTTTGGACTTAGCATTCCAATAAATATAGAAAAATCTAACCAAGAAATTTGTGGAGTACTTCCTTATATGAGTCCAGAGGTGATAATGAAAAGCCATACACTAACGCTGCAGATATTTATAGCTTTGGAATAGTTGTGTACGAGATTGCAATAGGTGAACGACCATTTGGTGATCGAAGTCATGATATACATCTCGTATTAGACATTTATAAAGCAGTACGACCTACCATACCAATAATGTTCCCGGATGGTGCAAATTTATTTTTGAAAAGTGTTGGGATCCTATTCAAGAAAACAGACCAACTGCTGTGAAACTTTTTCTCTTATGCAGATCTATCTGGTATCCAGATGTTAACTGGGAGCTAAATGCTTTGCATTTTCAGTACTACAGTTCTTTAGAGTGTCCTAAAACAGAAGAAGAAATCATAGATTGTGTTAAACTAGAAAGACAGAAATTGGAGGAATTTAACAAGATGAAACTACAAAAAAGCATTCCTACGAATATAAACAAAACAAATAAATCCATTCAAATACAATTTACACCAGTCAAATGTTTACTGCGAAATTAATATCAATTCCAACTGGTACAGGTAGGTACATTTGTTTTGATATTCAATCAAAATAACATTCCGGGTTGATTTTAGATATACCAAACATTTAGGTTCTACAAATGTTAGTTTGTATGTTCCAACTTACATTTGATCACTTTCCTTAATTCAAAATATTTTTCTTTGGTGATAAAAAACAGATTTCGATGTTTATACCAAAAATCCTTTTTATAAGCATACAGTCATGCAAAGTGCTGTTATTCGTCAAATCAGGATCTTTAAATCACATAGGTTAAGTCAAGCCATGATTGTAGATTGCCAGTCTCTGCAGTTACTGTAAACCATTCAGTCGCATTAGTCCAAACTTTCCGATCAACTTTAATTTAATATACGTAGCTGGCGTTTTATAAACATCATTTCTCAATCTCTTGACTGTTCCATCATCATTACTTTGAATT